TTTTTTTTTTTTTTTTTTTTTTTTTTTTTTTGATTTTTGTGCGCTTTTTCTTCTAACTGCAAGACAGGTCAGACGCAAATTTAAACTTGCTGTTTATCACAGGGTTTTGATAGACGTGATTACAGCCATATTTTGTTTATTATTGAGGTTATAGAAACGTTGCTAATTTTGTGAAACATTTTAGCCGTCACTCCGGAGTTTGTTATTTCTGTTGAATTTTTTTGAAATTTTTCTTAATTATTACTTTTTCAAAAACACTGGTAATTATAAAATTGTTCAGATGGAGAGTACAGTAGAAAGTCTCAAGTAGTTCAAAACATTGGTCAGTATTATTTTTATAAGTATTATTTTCCTTTTGCATGATTATTTCTGTAGTTTGTATCGATTAGTATCATTAGAAGTCAAGGTGTGCAGGGAAGAGATAAGGTACTTATTACGGGAAAGGAGCACAAAATGTCACAGTTTGCTCATTATAGCAATGAAGTTATCTCGCCTTACCAGTTTTGAAGCTACTGAAAAGTTGGCTCAAATTCCAAAAAACTGCTGTAAGGTAAAAGTTGTTTAAGAACTTTTCTAAAATTCTTTTTTATTTTTGTCTCGTTAGGAAGGGTTTTTTTTCAGAAGTTGTTAGAGGTGCTTTTGTGTGCATGATCACCCACACACATTTCTTTTTCTTTCAGTATTTCTATATTCTCTATTCAGGTGAGAAATGTGATCCGTTTTTCACTGGAAAAAAGAACAATTTTTGATTTGTTGAGGTTTTTATGGTTCTCTTAATGTTGCATAAGCTTTAATCTGTTAATACTTTTTATCCAAATGTTTTGGCAAATTAGCTTTATATGTTCTTGTTCTTCCAGCTTAAAGAAACAGTTTTTAATGTGCTGTCTTTTTTTTGACAATCTATATTTCCTCTTTGATTTTTCTCTAGTATAAACGTTATACAAAACTTTGGAAACAACGTGTAATGAATTTCGTTTTTGGAGTAGAAACCTCCAGATATTCTTCCACTTAACGTATTGTTTTAATATTGGAACTTTTCAGAGAGTTTTGCACGCCCAATTTTTTTTTACGCAGTAAATCTTTGTGTTTACAACGACAGTGATGTAAGAATTCAAAATTTTTTTGTAGTACTGCAGAAAGTTTTATTTCTAGCTTTATAGTTACAGTTCCTCCTCCACCTTCTATAAAGTAAATATGAAAAACTTAAAAGTTCCATAGTATTTTATTATAACATCGGTTCACAAATCACTAACCGTCATTTGACCGTGTAATTTAAATGTGTAGCAGTTAACGCTTCAAGTTATCTGGTAAAAGTTGTTTGCAACAGTGATGGCGATGATTGAAGAGTCCTGCTAGCAAAAAATCCAGATCTTGTGTGATTTCAGATCACTAGTGAGATGTAAGGTACTGGTGTCCGGTATTTGAGACCGAAAAAGAGGAGCAAAAAGTGCTAGGCAGTGATCCAAAGACAATCCAGTTTCAGCTCATTTTTCTGGATGTTGTTGTTGTTGTTGTTGAAGCTACACAGTCTTAGGCAGATACGACTTTATCCTTTGTGTGATTTCTTCAGATACATTTGCTCTGTTTTAGTTTGAACATATTGCCAAAGTTTAAGAACAAAATTATAGCTTTTTTTGCGTTGAATGTTCAAAAAGAAAAAAAAACCAATGTTATGGATTTAAAGCTGCAAGAAGTGAAATAAGTAAATTTGAAATGAGTGTTGGCGCTGCAGACGCGGTTGCGAGTGGCGGCATCAGGAGCGGCAGGGCAGCAGTGGTAATGGCAACTGACGGGTAAAGTTCGAATGAAGTTCGGTCGGCAATAGAAATTTAGTAGGTGTGCCTCTAGCGCATATCCAGTTTTTTTTTTTTTCTCGAGCTCCTCGACTTTGTGTTGCGCTAAAGTAACGCTGTTTTACTGCTAGGTGAGCAACTACTTTATTTTGCCTTCTGCAACGAGTTGACAAATTTATCTTTTGGTACTGGTTTACTGCCCTTAATTGAATTTGGTTGTTTTTTTTTTTTTTTTTTAGTCTTGGGGAAATAATAAATTTTTTCACATTTTTCTTCAACTTGGTGGCTACATTTATTGAGAAAAAGCAAAAGAAAATTGTAGAATACGTTTGGTGATGTGTTCAACAAAAAAAAAAAAAAGTGTATGTTTGTGTGATTAAAAGAAGAGGAAACGTGTGGTTGTCTTCACAGAGCGGTAATGAATTAGATAAGCTTTTGTGCGAAGACAGTCAAATCATAGACAGCTGTTCTTAGAATTTGCTTCATTCAATTACTTTGAACACTAGCAGGAAATTTGGTTTGTTTTCCCTCATATTTTATTTCATTCAAGTTTTGTCTCGATTTTTGTTGCTTGATTTTTTTTTAATTTTTCTTGTTTTGTTGCTATTTGTAGTGAAGCATGCGAAGGGTATCATCATAAATAGATTTCCAACTTGTCATTTGTCTGTTTAAAGTCCTGAAAAGGTCATAAACTTCCTACATTTCACGGAAATGAGGACGATCAGTTAATTATAAGGATAAAAGTAGAGTGGCTTTAATGTGAGATAAATTTTCCTGAAGTCCATGTGTTTCTCGGTAGTCTTCCTTATTTTGTCAGCTTTCGTTTGCAACTTA